CTTCCTTTTTAGACCAGAACGCCTATGGACGCACATATGAGCGCAAATGCATTTGTTATTTAAACAGCGTAGCGCAACGCCTCAAAACCACTCTTGCGCCAAGCTGAAACTAGCAACAGACTATTGCGCCGCGCCTTGCACCACATTGCGCCGGGTGTATGATAGGGCCCTAAACATTAACTTGTATTTGAAATATAACGTTCACAATTACAATTTAAATTAGAGATTAGATCTGCTTACAGCAGTACAGGGAACATCCAATGCTGATCATATCTGTGTTATCATACGCATCAAAGGGTAAAAGGGCGTTATATATTTTTTTAATATATATATATATATATATATTTTTTTTTTTTTTATATATATAATATATTTTTAATTATTATTCTGTGATTCCTCCGTGCACCACTAGAAGAAAGTCTGCATACCACACTTTAAGAACCACTGGTATAGATAGATAGTTAGGCCTTGTCTGTGTCAGGTTTTTCCTTTTTCAGCTAATGGAGGGCAGGCAGAAGAGGGAGACTCACAAGAGCATCGGTGGACATTTATCTAGAAAAATGCTGGAGAACAGCAGGTAGGGCTCTGTCAGTACTGTCTATGGGTGCGTTCCAAATCACATACTTGTACACTATTCTATGCCATTTTGTAGTGTAAATGGTGTAAGTAGTGTGTTCACACTGAAATATTCTTTTTTTTGGCTTTTTTGCCTTTATTAGATAGGACAGTAATGGGACAGGAAACGAAGTGGGAGAGAGAGAAGGGTGTAGGGTTGGGAAATGTCTTCGAGCTGGGATTCGAACTCCGGACGACCTATTGTGCTACTGCACCATATGTCAGCGCATTGACCACAAGGCTATTGCGCTGACAATATTCTTTTATTTCAAAAAAGATTAAGTTCACTTTAAATTCCTGAATGATGCACTTATTTAACCGTTTAAAAGAAGTGTGGACTGTGCACTTGGGGCTGTCTTTGTTTGTTTGCAGATTGGAGTGGAGCAGAAGAAGGAGACTCACAAGCGGAATGGTGGAGATATACTGCAAGACCTGGAGCTCAGGAAGCAGGTAGAACTGCTTGAACAGACTGAACAATGGAGTTTGTTTTCAATATTAAATAAAGACCTGATATCTTTCTCTTTGACAGGTTGGCATGGAGCATGTGGAGGAACAGGGAAACGCACCTTAGTAATGACAAGTGCATCGTAATAAATTAGATACAGCCTTAAATTTTTTAGGTTGAATCAAATTAACTTTATAAAACATTTAAAATCATATACTTTCATTTGTACATACTAGGTGATGGTCTGGTATCTCTTTAAGTCAGATAAATGTCTTGTCTGCGGCAGGTGTTTCTTTTTCCTGTAATGGACACACAACAGACAGAAGAAGGAAACTCACAAGAGCATCGGTGGAGATTTGTCTGAAAACCGCTGGTTAACAGTTTATGCATTTCTGGAGTTCAGCAAGCATGTAGAGCTCTGTTAGTTGTGTCTTTATCTTTTCCAGGCTGGAGTGCAGCATGTGGAGACAAATAGGAATCACACACCTCAGCAATGGACACTGATGGTCAGGAATATCCTTTAAAGGCAGATGAATGGGTGCATGGATGGATGTCCTTCCAAGTGGAAGGGGGTGGTGGTGGGCATAGATTGTTAGATATATGTATTGTCTGTGGCTATTATTTACAACTACAAAGGGCAGAAGAGTCAGACTCACAAGCAAAATGGTTAATACTTATCTTAGGAACACTGAAGAACGTTTGGTTTATTGATGCAGATCATCCAGCAAGTAGAGCTTTGTTAGTCTTGTTTTTGTCTTTTGCAGATTAGACTGGGGCCTGTGGAGAAATGGGACTCGCACCTCAGCATGACTGGAAACTGATGGTCTGGGCTGCGTTTCCCAAACAACAAAGTAACTCACGGCTAAACTATAAAAGTCTGATGCATCGTTTGAGAAAAGAATGATGTAGTGACGAGTGTGTCCCAAAACGTGTAGTTTCTCTGTCGCAGCTCCATCGCTTAAACCAGGTTAGTTATAATTATGATAAAATGCCCGTAATGATGCTCTAAACTACGTCTTTAGAGAAAAGAAACTTAATTTCTTTGTGCAAATTATACACGCACACGCATTTAAAATAGAATTCAATATTAGATTTAGTAAAAATATGCACTCGCTTTCCATATTAACTGAAATATATGTAAATGACACAAACAGGGCTAATGTTTGCTTTACTAATATTATTGAGAAGTTGAACATTACACATTCTATTCTAAAACATATCACTTACAAAAGCTAACACGTATTCTAATATCATATAAATCATAAAAATAAATAAATAATAAAGGCTATTTATTATAAAATGAAATGTAATATTAATTATTTATTAGAAATGAAAAAATGATACTTTAATAATAATATTAATGATGATGATGGTGATGATGATTCTTATTATTATTAAGTAGGATATTTATTTATTTATTATTATTATTTTTTTAAAGTCTACTTTTACAATTTAACACATGTAAACCACTTTAGAAAGTTCTAACTGGCAGGCCCATGTCATATACAGTACAGATACTTAATAAATGACCCAATATAAATGAAAAGAATTACCGTATGCTTTTTGTTTTCAGAAGCTTTGGAGACGTAACATAAATTCCGCTTTTAAATAATAGGTCACCTATAGTTTTTGCCATGAGGCTGTGTTCAAAATGACATCAATGTTTTCAAAGTGCACTGCGAAGGGAGCACAGTTGTAAACTGTAAGATCTGTAAGATCACGAAAACTGAACTGTAAAAATAGTTTGAAAGCAAATTACACCTAAGAGAGATGACTTTAATTTTTTTTTTTTTTTTTTAATAATTGCAACTTTGAATGTTAAAATGTTCTAAATGAATAGGGCATAGGGGGAATAACTGAGAATAGAACACAGTCAGGAACAATGTTTCTAACTACAGCTCCAGATAGTTGGAAAGATGTCTTCTTTGTGGCAGCAAAAGTATCTTAAATCAATCAAATGTAAAGACACAACTGGAATGATTTAATTATGTTAATTATTTAGAGAAAAAAGTATTATTATAATACAAATATTAAATAATAATAATAGTTTTATTTATAATATAATTCAAATTTTAATTAAAAATATTCAGTATAGCTATTTATATATGGGTAAATAAATGTTTTTTTTTGGGTGGGGTGCAGTTGAGGGGGGCTCGTGGCCCAGTAGAGCTTTACCCCTGAGACTAACAAGGGGAACAGTGGAGATAAACTGGAAGACCTGGAGCTCGGCAAAGAGGTAGAACTGCTTGAACAGACTGAAAAATGGAGTTAGTTTCCAAAGAAATTTATTGAGATTAATTATAGACCTGATATCTTTCTCTTTGGCAGATTTGTACGGAGCATGTGGAAAAACAGGGAAACACACCTCAGTAATTACAAGTGTATCATAATAAATTAGGTACAGCCTTACATTTTTAAGTTGAATCAAATTAACTTCATCAAACATTTTAATTTACATATTTATATTTTCACAGAGTGATAGTCGGGTATTTTCTTTGGATGGACGAACGGATAGATAGTATTGAACAAGCAGGTAGAGCTCTGTTGATGTTTTCTTTGTCTTTTACAGAGTGGAGTGGAGAATTTAGGGAATCACATCTCAGCAATGATAAGAAACTGCTGGTCAGGTATCACCTATCACCGAAAGATGTTTAAGAGGAAGGGGGGCGGTGGTGGGCTTGAGCTGGGCTCAGACTATAGGAGTTTTAAAAACCTAACCGATAATGAAATCTGGTTGCTGTGAACACATGAGGAGAATCTTTGGCAAATTTATTAGCCCACCTCAAATCTTAAATGTGTGCAAAGTACAAAATATGAAAACTGCGCCACAGAACACAAGATATTAAGGTTATCCTGACCGATGGAGCACATCACTTTCTTTGTCAAAAATTACGCTTTTTTTTTTTTACTAATATTAGATTATTAAATTATGCGGTGGTTCGGTTCTGGGTTTTTCGGGGTCGACAGCTATTCTCGACTCTTAATTTTGGAGTCGGTGGAATCGGCTCAAAAATCAACACCTTTTACATTCACTTAAAATAGCGCAAGGATTAAACATGCTGTATCATATCGTTCTTTATACAAGCAGTTCTCCTGTGGTCAGACAAAATCAGCATTTTAAATCATCTGCAGTCAAAATAAAATAATAATCCGCCTATACTTTTTTTAATTTAGAAAATTAAATTGCAATCTTTGAGACAGAAAGTTAAAACCTCAATTTATTATCAAAATATTTAATGAAAAGATGTGTAGCAGCAGTTCAATAACAAATTAAAAAACACCCCAATTGAGCCCAAACAACGCTTAAATAAAAATCATGAAATACCCTTAATATCTTCTTAATATAAATGTTTGATACATGAATACAGAGTATGAGTGAACAAAATAATCTGGAGTAGTGAACAGTCTGAGGTTGTTTAGTACTATATTTGTTTTAAAGCAACAGATGCTCTAACTCAGGGGTGTCCAAACTCGGTCCTGGAGGGCCGGTGTCCTGCAGATTTTAGCTCCAACTTGCCTCAACACACCTGCAAAGATGTTTCTAGAAAGCCTGGTAAGAGCTTGATTAGCTAGCCCAGGTGTGTCTTGAAGGATTCGGATTTCTGCTTTCCAGTCCATCTCATCATGGACCAACGTTTATCGTTTTCATCATCCTGTTTCTCAATATTTAACTGTGAATTGATTTTAATTAATGAATAAGTTAACACATTGCTTAATATAAGAATGTTCAGTGCATTTGCCAGTCTCTTTATACCTATTTTCAGGAGCCAGCAAACTAGATCAGAGGTCATGGAGATCTTGAGTGGAACTGAGGACTGGAAGCAACTGTTTCTATTGTTATTTCTAGGAGTTAATACTGTCTAAAATGTCTAAAGTGATTTTGCTATAGTTTTACGGTTAAATCTTTTAAAGTGATTCTACTTTTTATTCAAGATAGACTTTGTGTAGTAAGAATATAACTGCCTGAATGTAGATTATACCAGTTTTTAACCAGTTTTGATAAAGACGGCGGACGGTACACTCAGCCTTGGATGAGAAACAGATTATACTTAAAGTGTGTGTGTTCTATTTGATTGTTGATCCGTTTCACAGGTCTGGAGTCAGCTCTAATCAGTCTAAAGGGTGTCTGACGTTTATGCTTAGATATTGTTCAGAATTGTACGCACGAACCTCACGTGGAAATGTTCCTAGTCTATCTGTGTTTTAACCAATCAGGTTAGAACACCTTTATGTATGACGCAGTTAATGACGTTATGTGAGAGTATAATTGTTATTGATTGGTGATTGTAAGCAGAGTGGCCTAGGAACTCATTGCGAGTGTTGAAGCTGGGTTCTGCGGATGAAACTGCAAACTATCTTCAGTAAACTTGATTTATTTATTTAAATCTCTGACTCCGGCTCTTCTTCATTTACCAGACTGGTCATTCTTTGGGTTAAACTGTAAACTATCCCTACAGTCTGATTGGGGTTGGAACTAAACTTTGGAGGACACTGCCCCTCCAGGACCGAGCTTGGACATGCCTGCTCTAACTGATCAATAAACAATATAGCTAGATTTCAATTTGATTTAATGACCGATTAAATATTAACCCCCTACACGAAATTCATAACAAACCTAAAATAATAAATAAAATCAGCTGTGCCTCAAAACATATCATATTGCTCTCTCTTGTAAATTTTTTTTTTTTTATGTGTTCTTTTAAACAGCCTATTACTTTACTTTTAAATATCACTGTTTGTTTTGTGCAATTTGTTCATTGTAGTTAAATAAGGGTTTGTTTATGGGACAGCATACGCCGGAAGAAAAGGAGTGAGTCAGAGCTGTTTTTGAACTTAGCCTTGTCTCTATTTGTATTTAAAAATCCTCTTTTTGAAATGAATTTCGTTTGTTATTAATTGTATTTTAATTTTAATGTATTTAATTTGTAGTTATTTACAAAATAAACAAGAAGAATAGCCCAAATATTAGAGCTAAATTGTATTGATGACACAGCAAACTTGACATCGCAGGCAGATCATCTTTAAAACCAAATTGCACAAAGTTGTGTTTCATAGGTATTTAAAAGTGAAAGCAAACTTTGTCTGCAGCACTAAATTTATAATTGCCTTCAGACTTATAATCTCTCCATCATGCCACGATGTGCTGTGCTTTCTTGCTCAAAAGCTAAATTGTTACCTGTTGCACTGCCTATATTGTGTGGAAAAATAATCTGTTATAGCATATAGAGCTACTCTATGTCGGTTTACGGCACTAGACACAGGCCTAAGGATTTTTTTATACAGTACATAACACTAATCTGTCCCCTATCCTAAACACAGCCCTCACAGAAAAGATATATCTGTGATTTCTAAAAGCACATTTTAATGTTGAAGCTTTTTGTTTTTTGGAGATAACTGGCAATTTAGTAGGCATAGCTACCCAGCTACATCTGGCTCATAAATATTCACACACAGAATAACGTCAGTGGCTAATGAAAACTGATCATTTAAGCTTATTATAAGGAGGTCGTTGTCCTATCCACAAACGGAATAACTCACTTTTTTAATTACTTATTATTAATTTAGTAATATTTGACCAACTACAGGAAAACACTAATATCCTGCACTCGAAATAGGCTACGCTACGTCTCAGTTTGCGTAGCTGTTCATGCAGTTAGCCTGTAAAATTTTGTTAACACACGCAAGTTGAGCCGCAAGTGTCTTTTTAATTTGCTCTCACACACAAACATTTATTTCATAAATGCGTATTATATATGGCTAATAATATTTGGCAATTGGGATGTTTATAAGGGTCTGACATGCAGGCAGTGGACAGCAGAATGGAGAAATGTTGATTTGATATGTCTAAACGAATGTTCAATTATAATTATATCAATTATTCACACACCCATACACTCTCACATTCACACACATACACTATGGCCAATTTAGTTTATTCAGTTCACCTATATCGAATGTCTTTGGACTGTGGGGGAAACCAGAGCACCCAGGGGAAAACCACACGAACACAGGGAGAACTTGCAAACTCCACACAGTAATGCCAACTGACCCAGCTGGGACTCAATCCAACGACCTTCTTGCTGTAAGGCGACAGTGCTAACCACTGAGCCACCCTGTCACAATGATATTACTATTTATGACAATAATTGAAATCTCTCCGTCTTGCTGCGATGGCTGTGCTGTGTTTGACTGGCAATAGCTCGACTTTTAGATTGCTATAGCCTCTTTAAAAGTGAGTCACTTCCTAAAAAATGGATAGCTCATTCCTCAAAAGCAAGTATTGATTTCAATGAGAGTGTCAGTGTCATCGAGAGGAAAAGTCCTGACACCATTGTTTATTCACAAGATAGTCAAATGGCTTTGTCTATTTTTTTCAATGTAATAAAGTTCGATTTTGGTGACATTTTCTGAAAATGCTCAAGACAGCACTATATACTATTTGCTCAGCCATTTGAAAACTACAGTAAAGTTAGACATCACTGCATTTAGTGAGGAATCTGATTACAAGACACTGAATATGTATGTTTCACATTTTTACTGCAGATGCTCTTTGCAATTCTAATTTATTCACAGCATTGTGCAAAAGAATAAATACACTCTTATTTACATCAAACATAAACTCCCTTTGGGCAGAGCTGTGCACAACTGTAAACAATATGTGCTGTGCACAACTTTCAAACATTAAGTACAAATTGCAACTGAACCTACAACATACACAGGTCTGTAAATCATTCATGAAATTGTTCAATTTAGAAGACATTTTCTGGAAAATAAAGATATAAAAGTTTTAATAAAATTTGCTGGTCAGATTTCGGCAACTAGTTCAACATTTTTGTATGTAATGACTCAAGTAATGAAATGAGGACTATTAGTTTTTAAATGGAATGACTTTTCAGCATTCACAAGTTTAGTTAATTTTGACTGACATGACATAAGCGAATAATAATTTTAACAGCAAAGAGTTGTATGAAAGCAATTGATACTAGTCCAAAAGCATTCGCAATTTGTTGGAAGGAATGAGAAACTGCTACTATGATGTGCACAAATGACTAATTGTTATGAGAAATGCATTAACTGTTGTGCAAATGTAAATAGTGTTGTGAGAAATGCACCAAAGCCACTGAGAAAAACTGTAATATGTTGAATCATTTTGGGTTTTGGAGATAACTGGCAATGTTCTAGTGCCCGGCTACACGTGTCATCAATATCTGCACACCGCTATAAGAATAACGTTAAATCTGGCTAATAATAAAGGATAATTCAAGCTTATTCAAAAAAATGATATATTTATTTATTTATTAAAAGCAACATGATTCTCTCCAGCTCATGGCTTTGTTAATACGGAATAGGTTTGAACTGCTGTGATCAGCCCGATTTGAATTTCTGGATTTCAATCATGTCTGCTATGATCAGGGAGGCTGCGATTTGTGTTCAAGATGGCGAGGTGCAAGATTCTATCTTTAAACGGCTCACATTACCAGATAATCTGCACTGAGAACCGATCAAAGTCCTTGACAAGATTTCATCTCCGATTCTCGGGAGGTCAAAATAAATTGGACTAAAACTTCTGTAGTCTGAGCTCAGCTTTAGATAGATAGATGTATTCTCTGCGGCAGGCGTTTCTTTTTCAGGTAATGGACACACAACAGACAGAAGAAGGAAACTCACAAGAGCATCAGTGGAGATTTGTCTAAGGAACGCTGGAGAACATTTAGTGCACTGCAGGAGTTCAGCAAGCATGTAGAGCTCTGTCAGTCGTGTCTTTGTCTTTTACAGTCTGGAGTGCAGCTTGTGGAGAAATATAGGAATCACACACCTCAGCAATGACTGGACACTGATGGTCAGGAGTATCCTTCAAAAACAGGTGGATAGGTGCATGGCATGGATGTCCTTCCAAGAGGAAGAGGGTAGTGGTAGACATGGATTGTTAGCTAGATGTCTTCTCTGTGGCTGTTATTTATTGTAGGTAATGGACATACAGCAGGGAGAAGAGAGAGACTCACAAGAGCATCAGTGGAGATTTTTTTTTAATTGCCGGAGAACAGCATGTGCATTGCAGGAGCTCAGCCATCAGTTAGGGCTCTGTTGGTGCTGTCTTAGTCTTTTGCAGACTGGAGTGAAGCAGAAAGAAGAGAGTCACAAGGGAACAGAGGAGATATATC